TCATCTCGGGCGTATTTGAGCAACATTTGTTGCAAACATAATAGGTATTTCACATCAAATAGATGCGTGTTATTTTCCCTGATTGCGTTATACTTAAGGTAACGGCAAAGCATATTTGCGGTTAAAAAGAATGCCTTCTCTTAAAATGTAGCCAATTTACATAAAAATCTTACAATAGGCTGTTAAAAAAACATTACTTTTATCAGTAAAGGGCACCTTTTTGAATAATGAATATTTGCTTATTTTTCGTGGGCTTATATTGAAAACTCTCTCTCTAGTATGTAAATATGAGGTATTAAGCAAATAGACAAACCAACAATTTGTTAAAAAAAATTACCCATGACGGTAGTATTGATTTTCGATTAGGTTAAGTGCTTAAATTTGTAGAAAATTGCTTTACAAACATAAAGATGATACAAATTAATAGATATAAACTTAAGGTGAATTTTTCAAAAATAACTTTTTATCTTTACAAATAATATTAAAATTTAATATTATTATTTAAAACAAGTGTGGTCTAATTTAATAAAAGGTTTCATGCACAGTATATTCGATAAATCGATAAATGCGTTAAAGAAATGAATTTACTTAGTTTTTTATTTTTAATTTATTGTTTTTTTATTTCTTGATGAATTTACTTAATTTTTTTTTAATTTTTTTTTATTTATTTATATCTTGATGCTTCCCAATAATACCTTATAATAATTCTTCTATAAAATAGTAATTTTAGAACAATGTACATTATTTTCTTTAGTCCATTGTACAGAAACCCTAAATATGGAGTATTATATTTGCGATTTCAGTAATAGATTTCCTAAATATCCGAAAATGGACTTTTTCCGAACAGAATTTGTTAAACAAATAACTATTTTAAAGAATTTTGTCTATATCTTAGCCGATGTTGCATAAGTACTTTACATTGTAAAAGGCCAAATACCTAATATTAAATTTTAATAATATATAACTGCTCAGCATCACAATAAATGGGAAAATGTATAAGAATTAAGCAAGCATTAAAGAAAGAATTTGCTAAAAAAAATTATGTATATATAACAAATAAAATATATTTTATTATTATTTTATTGTAAAATAATTATATTTAATGTAAATAAAAGTATATGCAAAATATCAAATAAAATATATAAACAAAAGAAACATTGTAAATGTTAAGGAATTTAATAATATTCTAAAACAAACATAATATTTATAAATAATATAATATACAAAATTTAATTATTGTAAATTTTTTTAAATTTTGTGTCATATATTTTTTAAAATTATTGTACATTTTATTTTGTGTATGAATTTAAAAAATATTAATGTATAATGCAGTCAATTTTATTAAATATTTGTCATATGCAAGTTAATAAATATTGCTGCTGTTTTATATGTAATAAAAAGTTTAATGACTTTGAAAAGCACCTAATGCAAATGTTTAACACACGACTTCATAATTTAATTCTTTTAATGACTTTAAATCATCCGAAATCAGTGGAAATATCGCCGGCATCAGCTTAAAAGCGTCATTTTTTCTTTTATGAAATAATTTAATTATTATTAGAAATTACAACTTTTTTTACTTAAAGATACTAAATAAGAGGTAAGTGTGAGTAAATAAATATATGTGTTTGCGATATATATCTGACAGTGAGCTTGACTTGATTGACAAGTTAAACTTATCACAAAAAAGTAATCTGAGTAATACCAAATACGACTAAATTTTTAAAAAACAAAAAAAAATTATTTATTTGTATTTATTTAACTTTAATTTATGACAAATTCCTTTTTGTTGTAAATTATTTTTTTTTCTTTTTGTTCTTCACAGCAGACATTTGTATTTAAAATTATTTGTATAATAATATTAACTGGTATTTATGACAAAATATAATTTATATGTACTTAATTACTGAAAAGACGACTTTAGCAAGAGTCTTCAATTTTTATAGAAAAAAAGAAAAATACCTTGTATATAAAATAAAAAGCTAAATATAAAATACTTGATGATACAAATGTATTTATTCATTTTTATTTCAAAAATGCATACTAAAATAATAAATTAAGGTTTCAGTATTAATTTAAATATGCAAATTTCAACTAGACTTATTAAATAAATTTTAGAAAAAAGCTATAATAGTGGGAATGACATAAAATTACCATATAATACATATAGAACGGAAGAGTCTCCTGGATATAAATATGACTGAATATGGTCGAAACAACAAAATGATGAGAAATTATTAAAAACTTTTATTTTTTAATTAACTGACCTATTAGTATGTTGAGTAATTAATAATATAAGACATAGATAAGATATAAATAAATAAGATATAAAATAAAAACGAAGCAAACTAAGAGTAAAACCAACTAACAATAGAATAAAAGAATAGCAATATAATATTATAGCAAAAAATATTTATTATATAAAAAAATAATAAAATAATTAATTTTCGTTATTAAATATAATTACATAAAATGAATTAAAATAAAATTCAAAAAAATAATATAACAAAAATTTATAAAAAAAAATAAAAACTGATAAAATTGTTATAATAACAAATTGAAAAACGATTAAATAATAAAATTAAAAATATATTAAAACTCAAATTAATAAAAAAAATTAACTAAAAACTTAATTGAATAGATTAAAAAAACAAAGAGCAATTTTTAAATAGCAGAATAA